GCCTTCACTTTTTCCTTTATTCTTCAAGAGAAGATTAAATTTGCATTGCCTTTTGTTGACAGCTATTGCATCTTTTCATTTTTATTCATGAATACTGCTGTAAAAATGTGCATGAAACCACTCAAATCTGCTAATTAGAGCCTTGAATTGACAAAAAGGAAAGAGTAAATGTCTCTTTTCGGTAATGAGTAATTCAGCGAAGATCATCAAAGCGATGCTAAACTCGAAACAGACTGGGGATATGGAAGAACTCCAAGCTCAATTTAAGCAAATCTACAGCATGTTTTTGCCTCTCATGTAAATGTGCCCCACCTGGTCGGCTTTTAGTAAGTGAGTGCAGTTCTGAGCACAACAGACTTTTTTGTGTCTTGTTGCATTGGTATGGCCCAGGATGTTTCACGGCTCCGCAAATACATCCTTGTTTTGAGTTATTTTTTGAATTCTTTAAAAAGAAAAAAGAAACCATAAGTGGCAGATCAGCGACCAAATCGTCCTTTCGTATACGCACTAATGAATCTTCTAGGTGCGTGTATGTGATACTTTTATACCTGCGTGTCTTTGAGTTGGCTGCTCATTTCTGTGTGAATATGCATAGACACACGCATGAGAACAGAAAAGCACTTTTCCCCTCTCCCACAGAAATACTCAGCGCAATGATTACCTGCCTTGCCACTCAGGGGGCCATTTGCTGTTACCACAAAGCTGATTATCTCACCTCTACAGCAGGCTGTGTTTGCAGCTTTGCAATTTTTTTCTCCCAAATGCCCACACTTCTATTTGTAGAAATGTTACCTAGCTGGCACAGGCAGAAATATATTTGTGTTTGTGTGGATGTTTGCGTCTGGGTGAGTGTTTGCGGCAGCGCTCGCCTGCGTGTGTGTGTTTTGCGGGTGGGTGGGTGTTTATGTGGAATAGAAGGCTGTAAGAATGGAGGAATGGATGACACAAACAGGGCAAAGTGGTGGGAGGCTGGTGTCAGGGCCCTACTCCCACTACCAGGCTGGATGCAGTATCTGACAGCTGACTGAGAGTCTGCAGGCCCCCTCTTTACACAGACCCACCAAAAGGTCAGCACTTCAATCAGCTCCACTCTCTGGATGCTTCTCTTTCTCTCTTACTGCCGCGAAGCCTCAATCTGCCCCCTTGATACACACTTAGCCATGCTTGACCATATCTCACAGGTGGAAATTTGCAGGTTTCGCTTACAAGAAAGCCGCCCCAGAATGTGTTTATGTATCTGTACCGTTTAACAGCTACTGTATATTAAAGCTAGCTCCAGGGCCGATGATTATGCACACTAGATGATGTGTAATTTTAGTGCACTTTGGTGTGTGGAAAATTGACATCCTCGTAGCTGGCTCATTGCTCAAAGCGTTTAAATTTTCCAGACCTTTAATTTCCTCTCGGTTCCTTCACAGGTCTCTCATTTGCCTCCACACATCAGGCGCTCTTAATATCCTGTATTCTGCTACCTGCTGCTCCAAGTTATCAAAATTGCAATTTAAGTACTAATTAATATAAGACTTCGGGTAACTATACAGCACAGGCAACATGAAAACAACTTATAAATAGCCTGTTGCAGTTTTTTTCTGCTGAAGATGACTTCCTGTAAATGAATAATTCAAGCTGTGATGTGATACCTCTTGTATAAAGGCAACATTTGCGGGACTTGATCATAGTGTCTCAGTTGTCACTCCGCCTCTTACGCACACAACTCCCTCATTATTCACCTGATACATTGTTTTATTTGTTCATTATCGAGCCTGATAAATGAACATTTCTCCCAGCGCCGTCAGCTGCATGAATTATCATTAACACGATGAGTGAAATGTCAATGGTGGCGCATGTGAAGTGTGTCCCGTGATTTCACGAGGCTAATAAGAGCAGCGATATAAAGAGAGATGAAGAGGGTTTGGGTTTGAGAGTCTCTCAACTCCGTTTCAAGTCTGATGAGGTTAAAGTCGCTCGTGTCCCGATCCACAAAGCCGGTAACTAAGCCTGCAAGAAGTCATCAAGGAAAATCTCACACCGTGTCACAGCCAGCGTGTGTCATGCTGGAGCCCGCGCCGGTACATAAAGAAAATCTTGCGCTTCGACTCTTTTCCATTTGCTTTGTGATTCACCCTATTAGCCACATTGCTACAATGACACATGCTTGGACACAAGCATAAGTATTCCCTGCTTGTTTTATGGGGTGACACATTCAAAAGTAATTATGTTATGTCATTGTTATTCAATCTTATATTTGTTCTGCGTTTCTTTAAAGCTGCTCTTTTAATTGTAGTATCCATGTGATCAAACAGCCAAAGGTCCAAAGCAACATTCTGATACTGGATTTAGTTCATAACTCAGTTCAACAAAGCTAGTGACTTGTGGACACCACCTAAGACAACATGATAATAGAGGATAAATAGTAGGCAATGAAGGACAAGTTACTAATACTGAGACTATGACTTTAATTCATAAAACTGCTACTTCAGCTGATCTTTGGATTTCAGTAGGGATGCATCCACGAGCTACATCGACACATTCTTTGTGAGACTTTTTTGAGCCTGAGCCAAAAGAAAAAAGAAAACTGGGACACTCGCTTCATTAGACGAGGGCAAGAGATAAAAATGTTATGCAGTCTGACATAAAGTGTGACACCAGATCACTCGCAGCTACAGCATGTTAGCAGCTCTACAGAGCTGCATGTATCATTAACTGCTGAGAGCGGTTTGCTCAGCTAACATGCTCCAGGTAAAGTTTACAATGTTCTCCAACTAACCCGACTGCACGATAGCCTGCTAACGTTTGCAAATTAAAAGTAAACAGAGCTACCGGATGATAGGATGATGATGGGAATTGCATTTGGTTTGTAGATATTACATTTTCCTAACGGCAATAGTTAGTTGCAGTGCAAGTTTTTTGAACAACCAAAAGTGAAGCGATTCCATTCAAAAGCCACATGAAGAGCAGCAGCCATTCTTTCCTGATAAATGCTCTTGATTATTCAAACAGATTGTTACACGGTAATTCTTTATGAATCAAGCTGACAATGCCGTATTTCCAAACGACACCGCTGCATTGGAGCAAGCTCTTTAGAAATTACATCATTGCTAAACACAATGATTCACATGGGCTGGTCCCTTTTATTGCCACTGTGGTTGACTCAGTAAACGCAGCCCAGTGAGTTCTCCCAAAGCTTCCAGCTGCTTTGTGCTCGAGTACCACTCAAACATGACACCGTGGACTGTCATAGCGTGTATCATGTTATTCGCTCCTGGGTGCAGACAGTGCAATCTTTTAATTACAGTACGTGGCGATCCATGGGAGATATGCACTGGCTTACTATCACAAACCTGATGTGCTCTGAAACACCACCAAATGGCTCTTGAGTAAGGGCTCTCACTGGATACTCGTCGTCCTTTGTCAGTGCGCTGCACTTCGCTGTTTCTGTACCACCGAGCAGCACTTAAACACTTGGGTCAGGCAGTTCATTTCTGAGATACTTCAGTAGTGTGTGTAGCTGAGGAAGAGGCCAATGTTGTGAAACTCTAAATATTTCACTACAAACTCATACAGGAGAAGTTTGAAGCAAAACTAAAACTGGAAGCACTATGAACCAAAAGAACTGGTTCCTCATTTATAGGGCACAGCTTTCCAGACACGACGGAACACCCAGCTGTTTCAGCTGCACAACAGCACACGTCAAGAGAAACGAGTTCGCTTGGAAAGCGCACTGTCTTTTTGTGCTTCACTTTTCAGCATGAGCAGCCTTAAAATCTCAGAGCGCAGACACGACGGTGCAGCTCTTGGTTTCAACATCCTCTATTATAAATCTGGATTAAAGAAGTGGTGGTTTTGACATAACCAATTCATCTTGTTTGTCTGAAGTGTTACTCAGATGTCTCCAAGCCCTGAGGCTAACTGATGAGTTTGTATATTGTTCATGAGTGTGTGTGTGTGCAGCTGGGATGAGAAGGTTTTGATGAAAACAGCAGATTAGAAAGGAGAACAAAGAGCAGGATGTGTGAGGTTTTGGTGACTGTTTCTTTTCTAAAAAAAAATATATCATAATTAATCAAGCCAAGTAAAGTCTTCACAGCCTACGTCAACTCTGCTAAAAACAAAAATATGACCGTTTCTAAATAAAATTGTGTAATTTATCTTTCCTCATTTGTATTCTATACTGGAAATGATTTATAAAACTTCCTGTTCCTGCTTTTGAACCTTACGCAGCAGTTTCACCATGCACATTAATAATCATTAGAACATTTTCTGCGTAAATACTTTTACTTGCACCATACTCGCACTTCTTGAGAGCCTGCAAGAGTTTTGACATTCAAAATAAACCGGTTGTGGTTTATGCTCTGAAAGCCTTAAGTGGGCACGTGAGTGAGGTCAGCACCTCCCGGAGTGAGTCTGGTTATGAAACAAGAGAAAGGCCCAGTTTTCCAAAGTAGGGACAGCAAAAAAAAACAAAACTGACTTTTCCTGGCTTAGTCATGTAAGCCTGAAGTCATCACTCACAACAAAAAAGCCCTGCCAACACATTTAAATGGAGCAACAGAAGATTCCAAATAACTCAAACCCACACATGGGCAATGCAACAGTAAAATGACTACACTTTCAAATCCAGGAGACCCTTTCTTTTGAGGCTTTACGGTAAACAATTTCCTCCAGCCTTATATGAAAAATATGACAGTTCCTTCCCTGAAACTGTGGTTTGCTGGGAAGTAGAGGAAAAATTTGATTATCCAAAACACTGTGTGAACTACCTATGATGTCTGCTGCCCTCAAGTGGCAGAATACATTCATTACAGTCATCAGTCACTATAAAAAATGAATTAGAAAACCACCACACTACTTCTTTTGTGAAGCACTTTCCACAACACATGACAACTATTTAATAATAGCATGTAATTGCAACACACTGCTAACTTTGTCTTTGTGCACCAAAAATACTACACGTGTGCATTTTTGCAGCATGAGAAACCACCACAAACTCCTCCAGCAAGTAATTCCAAATAAATTTATTTTTAATTTCATCCCCTGTACAAAGCAAGCATGGAATCTTCTGGACGCTGACGTGACTGAGCCGGAAACACAGATGGGCTGTCGATTTCCATCCAAACAACAGAAAAGATTACCTAGGAGGGAAAATAAACAAGAGCTTGATGAAAATAAAACCAAATGCTGTTAGTGGTCGGTAATTTCCTGTTAACGTTTCCACTTTTGATATTATTAATTGTATGCAGTCCTGCATAATTATCCTGTTAAACCAAACAAATTCCAGGACAATAAACAGCTCATGTTAGAGGAGTTGAGAGGTCATACCACAAGTCTACTCCAGAGCCTTGACAAGGGCTTCATTGGCCTCTATGCCGATCTGAGCTTCTGCCCTCGCTGCCTCGTCCGTTGTTCCAGCCAAATCAGCCTGGGCCTTCTCTAGGTTGGCTCTGGCTGCCTGAAAGTAGAAAAAGAGAACATGTGACTATTAAAAAAAAAAACAAAAAAGCAACACTATAAGATAACAACCAAAAGTCCAGCTGCATATTTTTAGAAACACTTATAGACTATTTATTTTTCCATCTTAAACCACATTATTACAGCAGTGTGCAATATCAAATACACCCTCATCATCTGTGACTATGAAAATATTTCAAGACAGGTCATCACCCTCAAAAAAACCCCATAATAAATAGAGTATGCAAAACTAAATCATCCAACAAACCCCTTTGAGGATGACTGGGATGTCAGGATATCAAGATGTGAAAAAACAGAGCGAGTCTTAAGTGAGGAGAAAGACGAGCAGGGAAAATCCCCACTGCCTCTTTGCTCTGAAAGCGCCATTTGTCACAGTCGCGATTAGAAACGAGAAATGCCAAACATAGCTGGAAGTTAAAGGTCTCCCAGCAGGGATTTGACACATCTGCTTTAACTCAACAGTGACTGACCTTTCCCTCCTTATTAACAGACCGGACCCATGTGCATTGTTACTCCAGAGTGGAAGGCGATGAGAAAAATTAACTCATTTACTGCTATGAAGTCAACTTGACAGTGATTCCGCCACTGCCCGAGGTCAAAGACGCGACACCTTCGAGGCGAGTGCACGATAACGCAGCCTAGCATTAACAAGACTGACATTTAAAAGAGGACTCAACGCTGACGTACGACTGAAACGCCGATCTGATGGATAATCATCAGCTGGGAGGTGCCGAATGACCCGGCAGATCAAATCAGAAGAAAATAATGTAGCGTGGGATCAAAGGACGGTCTCTGCTGTCAAAGAGCACGATCTGGGTGGATAATTAGGAATGATACAAGCCTGAACAAATTGAATATATAGATACCCATCACACAAACCTCATTAAAGCATAAAAGAGACAAAGAATTGACAACCCACTTATGAATACCACTGTGTCAATACTGGTGACACTGTTAAAGAGTAAAGACGGTGAAAAGAAAAGGAAACCTATTTTAAAACAAGGCTTTCAAAGCTTTCTCACTTGTACAGCTTTTGACAGCGTTTTAAGAACAAACGACTGGCTCCCACCATGTGAGCTTACAGTGTAACACCTGGTCTCCTGACTTGCAGCTGCAAACTTT